CCTCTCTCTCTCTCTCTCTCTCTCTCTCTTACTTTCACCCCCTCTCTCTCTCTAAAATATTTAGGAAACATTCAGAATCGAGTCTGCAGCGCAGGGGAAATGAAATGACGAAGAAGACAGAGACAAACCAAGAGTTCTGAATATTTTGGGGGAATCAAGACTCACCACAACGCTGTCGCAGCGGGTTTTTTTTTCTTTTTGGTATGGGTCAACAAAATAGTGAGCAATAAACAATAACAATAATAATCAAAATTGATAACTTTTCCGCTAATGCAATGCAACCAGTGGACCGATGCCTAACTAACAGCTGATGAGTTTTGGGGTGAACCATGTAGTCGATATTAGAATGCGTAACTAAATTGCCAAATGCTTAGTGTCCTTAACCTTGTATTTCCCAAGCGTGGGGGTTTAACACCCCTTTAGACCCAAAAAAGTCCTTAAGATATCGTGATGTTTTGTTGTTCATACACCCGTGACACAACAGAGCAAGTTTGTAATCCTTTTTAGTTTTCACATGTAGCCAGTCGCACTTTATCAGTAAAGGTATGTTGTGTACATTACTTTTGAGGACAGCGACTCAGCTCAATTTTGGAACCGCTGGAGAATATCAATCTTTCCCAAACTTAAATTAGCAAAATGAGAATCTCAGTAGTCAAGTCTTGATGAAAGAAACGCGTAGGTGGGGAGAGGATTTTAATTCAAAAGTTGAGGTTAACACAATGTTTTTATTTTTATTTTAAACATTTTTAGAACATATCCTGATGTTATCAGTGCTACTGAATTCAAACTTCTTGTTAGTGTTTCACGTAATAATTCTGTCTCCTTGTCCATCTTCAGCTTGTTGCCAACCATTCACTTACGAACATGTTCAATGCAATGAACATGACCATGCTGGTCAGCAAGTTGGTTACATCAGACTTTCGACATGACTGTGCAGCTGTGTATCATCAATAGTTGAAAGTTTATGAAATGGGTTTTTACAATATTTCCAAAAGTCTGTGTCTTCAGAGTGTGTAGTAGTGAAACTAGGGGCACTCCACAAAACAATGGAATTTTGGAGACTCGATGTCGTCACTGACACAAATAGATATTGTGTGTACGAACTTCCCAGTACAAAAACTCTAGCTTTTTTAAAATTAGAAAAGTCTTTCAAGTACACATACTTTTGTTTTAATAAGCTGTGGTTTTTTGGGTTTTTTAAAATAATAAATTACCGCGTAAGCTTTCAAGCTTTCAATAATAACTGCCGTTTTTAGCTTGGAACAGATTAGATTAACAGAGACGCCGAAAATAAATAGAGGGACAGGTCATGGGTGGGCTACGAATAGCCTGTTACGTATTTGGACAGGAGCCACTTAGTGCCATGCCAAACCCCGATCGTTTTCTTGTTTCCCCTTGTATCTCGACGGTTACCCTCCTCCTACCGGGACTGTGGACTGAACACAGGCGGCAATCGTCTGAACGTGGAGATAACAACCGAAATCTTTCATTGACGAGCCTCTGGGCTTGAGATAATTATTCTGAATTCTAAGTCTGCCGTACTTGATAAATAGCGTGTGTCTTGTCTGGCTCCTAAACAGACTCGATTTCCACTGCAGAACGCGCCACAGACCAATCTGGTATCACGTTTCGCTTTTGTGAGGATGGCCCTAGTTCGAATCTCCTGTATGGGGCATAATTTTAAGTTATTTAAGCAATATACAAGTATATTCACCTCCTTGCCTCTATCTTTTTCGGAGATGGACGTTACACTCTGAGACCCAATCCCTTAGATACCTCACAGTATCGACAAGGGCATTTAGACCCATATATACATCGCCAACGCCTCCCATTTTGAAAACTTGGTCAACGCTTAGAAGTTTGAGTTCAGATTCAATGTGCTCTTAATTCTTCATAATTATTATTGTTTGATAAACTCATTGCCCATTGTCCTGTCAAGGAAACAGGTCCGTCATCTTTGTAAACTGCTACAAATAAAACAATGGAAAAAGAAAAAAATACAACACACATTGACATAATTTGTTTGTTTGTTTAACAGATTCACGCTTCTAAAAATAGGTGCTTCACGGCAAGTCGGAATGACTTTGTTCTAAAGTTGCACAGAAATCAAATTTCCGGCTATATAGATGGGAATTTTGGAGGGCTACTTTCAAGTTGAACCTTTGTTTATATTGTTCATACCAGTAAAAACTTCCATGATACAGAGTATAATCTTATGCGAGCTTTGCTTAGCATGTTTCCGGCAATTTGATACATAGACTCTTGATAACATCCCGATGCTGGACTCTTACATTTCCCCAGACATCGTGACCCTGAGAACACACATTAGAAGCACATGGCTGGTGTCCAGTGGGTTACCTTTGTGTGTGTGGGTGTGTGTGCGTGCGCGCGTGTGTGAGTGTGTGTGTGTGTGTGTGTGTGTGTG